CTCCCCGGCGGCGGGATCGAGAAGCAAAAGCTACAGAGACAACAACGTCAGAGGAAGCGTTTTCCTTTCCGACGGTTTCTTCAAAATAAAAAAGATAAAAACAAAGTTCTTCCAAAGCAAAAGAGAAATGTCGACTTTCAGAAGTTCCATTATTTTCTGTTTAACATAAAGTGCAACAGTGCTGAATTATTCCAAGTCCTTCCCGGGTCTCCTTGCCTTGATCGCCGTGCACTGGGGCAGGACGAGCGGGCGAGGACTCTTCGATCCCGGCTGGGGGAGGAACGCGCGTCTTCCTTCTCATGGGTCATCCTCCGTTAATGGTGTGATGTTTTCGGAAACGTTACGATCCCTTCTTCATATACCTTCAAGATGGCTTCGCACACGAAGCGGTACTGGCTCTGCCAATGAGAAGAGGAGGTTGTTCCTTTACTGTGACCGTTAAGAGGGGCAGAAACGTCAAACGTGACCGTATTGCAACCGCACAGAACATTGAATGATAATTAGGGATGCACCGATGCCGGTTTTTCCGGTATCGAGTCCCGACACTTTGCTTTAGGTACTTGTCGATTCCGAGTGCCGATACCGGTGCTTCCGCTGGCATGGAGCCAGCTTCCCAAGCAATAAGGAAGACGGGCGGTAGGTAACGGCATACCTCCCGGCTCCCTGATTGCCCGGGAAACTGGCTCCATGTTGTCTGGCCAGCTTGATTGTGCTTGGCCGGCTTCCCAGCCAATCAGCATCGAGCCAGGTTCCCAGCCAATCAGGAAGCCAGGCGGCGAGTAATAGCCCGCCTCCCAGCTTTCTCATTGGCCGGCAAGCCAGCTCGATGCCGATTGGCTGGGAAGCCGCTTTCCAGCCAATCAGAAAGGAGCCAGCTGTTCGGCTGACTTGATGCTGACTGGCCAATCAGAATGGAGCTGGCTTCCCGGACAATCAGCAAGCCGAGAGGCGACTCATTACTCGCCGCCCAGCTTCCTGATCGCACGGGAAGCTGGTTCCATGTTCCCCTCCGGCACTGCCGGTCAGAGAAAATGTTCCTCTGACTGGAAGTTCTGGTGACGGGATAAGTATCGGAGCATTTGGGCGAGTACTCACTCAAATACTCGGTATCGGCACTGATACTAGTATCGGTGCATCCCTAATATTAATGTGTCAAATGCAAAGTGACCATCCGCACTGTGCTGGCCGAATGGAGCTTATCGTCTCCCCTCACTTGTCCAATTGCAAAGGGACCAGCCTCACTATGATGGCATCAACATGCACAAAAAACTTTATCGTTCCAGACAAAGAATACAAAAGATCTGTCCTCCTCACACTGTTGTGTTTCACCCAGTCAGGGCCCACAGAGCATTCTCTACAAATAAGCCCCGTTTGGGTGAAACGCAGCAGCTGAGAAAAGTCTGGAATGATCTTCTAAATCGTTTGGAAGGTTTATTCATTCTGACGGCGAAGGCCGGTCCCTTTGCTTCGGACAAGCGAGGAGTAAAGATGAGCTCCCTTCAGCCGCCAACTACATCTACAGACTTTAGACTTAAGTTGCCCATACGCAGACTGAATCATGGACATTTTCTGCTGAATTGCCCGAAACTTGATCTTTGGGTGGCTCTGCCAGCACCAACCAACTTGACAAGTGGATTTTACATTTGACTTTTGTTGAATTAGCTCGGTGGATAATTGGCAGCCAATCAGCCGCAGTCACTATTTGGGCACCGGGTGTCAGAATACAATAGCTGGCAGCAGTCAAGAGCGTGGATTGGGGGAATCGGGTGATTTCAGCCCTGGCCAGCTTTAGGATAGATGGTCCGTCTTCTGAGTCTAGTGATTATTAATGTTTTGGGAACAGTATGCTTTAAATTCATTGTCTGTGTGGTTGCAGTTTTGCTCCTTATGTGTAGACGGTTGGGAGAACTCCACCTAGGGAGCCATGATAAGTCACATAGCAATTGCCCCAACAAGGCAACTACACTATATGGCCAAAGGTATGTGAACCCTCCTCTAAATGATGGAGCTCAGGAGTCCCTAGTGAAGGTTTCTGGTAATCCTCCATCATACAAAGACATTGTAGACAATTGGGCTCTTCCACGATTGGGGTCACAGTTTGGTGAAGACCCTTTTCTGTTCCACCATGACTGTCCCCCGTGTACAAAGCTCCATAAAGACATGGGTGGACTCAATGGACTTGTGTCAACCTGACTATGTAACTTTGGTGTGACCAGTTTGGTGTGGAGGAACTTGCATGTCCTGCACAGTCCTGACTTCATCCCTACTGAACAACTTTGGGGTGAATTGGATTTGTGAGCCAGATCTTCTCATCCAACATCAGTACCCGACCTCACATATGGGACAAATTTCTACAGACACACTCCAAAATCTTGTAGAAGCCTTTCCAGAAGAGTGGAGGCTGCATCTTAAAAGGAGAACTATGGGGTCAGTGTTTTTCCCCATAGTTCTCCTTAGGGTAACGGGAGGACACAAACTTGCATCCTCCCGTCACCCTAGGCTCAGTATATATACAGCTTTGCCATCTCTGACCCCTCTGGGAAGATTTCTCATTTCTTGTGTGGTCACTAGGTCAGGAAATAAGGAGAGACTTCCCCAACGGGGACACAGACGGCAATAAACACAGAGATGTCATCCCTTTCCTATTCAAACCAAAAGTACACCATGACTGAAGTTGAGCTTCAAGTGTGATTCTGACTGGCGCAGCAGAAGGATCCGGAAGGATCGCAGTTCTTAATACACGCGAGATGAGACCTGACCGCACCGTGCAAAGCTTTGTCATTTCTACACCAAGTTACCGGAGTCTGAATCATCATGGCCCGCTGGTCTCTCATCGTTCGTACGATGTCTAGTGGGTACACGGCCTGGTTACACTCCATCAAACACATTGCCGTCTCCATGGTGATAAGAACGCCTGTCCGACCAATCCCAGCACTGCAAGGGGAGAATAGGATGTATGTTACACATCTTTACTGCCAATCAGCCATGGAGAATGGTTCTGTATATAGACATGTGTCCCCTGATAATTCTCCTGGGGTCACCTCTGTACTATACCTTACCCCTGATAATATTCCTGGGGGCACCTATGTACTATACCCTACCCCTGATAATATTCCTGGGGGCACCTATGTACTATACCCTACCCCTGATAATATTCCTGGGGGCACCTATGTACTATACCCTACCCCTGATAATATTCCTGGGGGCACCTATGTACTATACCCTACCCCTGATAATATTCCTGGGGGCACCTATGTACTATACCCTACCCCTGATAATATTCCTGGGGGCACCTATGTACTATACCCTACCCCTGATAATATTCCTGGGGGCACCTATGTACTATACCCTACCCCTGATAATATTCCTGGGGGCACCTATGTACTATACCCTACCCCTGATAATATTCCTGGGGGCACCTATGTACTATACCCTACCCCTGATAATATTCCTGGGGGCACCTATGTACTATACCCTACCCCTGATAATATTCCTGGGGGCACCTATGTACTATACCCTACCCCTGATAATATTCCTGGGGGCACCTATGTACTATACCCTACCCCTGATAATATTCCTGGGGGCACCTATGTACTATACCCTACCCCTGATAATATTCCTGGGGGCACCTATGTACTATACCCTACCCCTGATAATATTCCTGGGGGCACCTATGTACTATACCCTACCCCTGATAATATTCCTGGGGGCACCTATGTACTATACCCTACCCCTGATAATATTCCTGGGGGCACCTATGTACTATACCCTACCCCTGATAATATTCCTGGGGGCACCTATGTACTATACCCTACCCCTGATAATATTCCTGGGGGCACCTATGTACTATACCCTACCCCTGATAATATTCCTGGGGGCACCTATGTACTATACCCTACCCCTGATAATATTCCTGGGGGCACCTATGTACTATACCCTACCCCTGATAATATTCCTGGGGGCACCTATGTACTATACCCTACCCCTGATAATATTCCTGGGGGCACCTATGTACTATACCCTACCCCTGATAATATTCCTGGGGGCACCTATGTACTATACCCTACCCCTGATAATATTCCTGGGGGCACCTATGTACTATACCCTACCCCTGATAATATTCCTGGGGGCACCTATGTACTATACCCTACCCCTGATAATATTCCTGGGGGCACCTATGTACTATACCCTACCCCTGATAATATTCCTGGGGGCACCTATGTACTATACCCTACCCCTGATAATATTCCTGGGGGCACCTATGTACTATACCCTACCCCTGATAATATTCCTGGGGGCACCTATGTACTATACCCTACCCCTGATAATATTCCTGGGGGCACCTATGTACTATACCCTACCCCTGATAATATTCCTGGGGGCACCTATGTACTATACCCTACCCCTGATAATATTCCTGGGGGCACCTATGTACTATACCCTACCCCTGATAATATTCCTGGGGGCACCTATGTACTATACCCTACCCCTGATAATATTCCTGGGGGCACCTATGTACTATACCCTACCCCTGATAATATTCCTGGGGGCACCTATGTACTATACCCTACCCCTGATAATATTCCTGGGGGCACCTATGTACTATACCCTACCCCTGATAATATTCCTGGGGGCACCTATGTACTATACCCTACCCCTGATAATATTCCTGGGGGCACCTATGTACTATACCCTACCCCTGATAATATTCCTGGGGGCACCTATGTACTATACCCTACCCCTGATAATATTCCTGGGGGCACCTATGTACTATACCCTACCCCTGATAATATTCCTGGGGGCACCTATGTACTATACCCTACCCCTGATAATATTCCTGGGGGCACCTATGTACTATACCCTACCCCTGATAATATTCCTGGGGTCACCTCTGTACTATACCTTACCCCTGATAATATTCCTGGGGTCACCTATATGCTATACCCTACCCCTGATAATATTCCCGGGGTCACCTCTGTACTATACCTTACCCCTGATAAAATTCCTGGGGTCACCCCTGTACTATACCTTACCCCTGATAATATTCCTGGGGTCACCTCTGTACTATACCCTACCCCTGATAATATTCCCGGGGTCATCTCTGTACTATACCTTACCCCGGATAATATTCCTGGGGTCACCTCTGTACTATACCTTACCCCTGATAAAATTCCTGGGGTCACCCCTGTACTATACCTTACCCCTGATAATATTCCTGGGGTCACCTCTGTACTATACCCTACCCCTGATAATATTCCTGGTGTCACCTCTGTACTATACCTTACCCCTGATAATATTCCTGGGGTCACCTATGTACTATACCTTACCCCTGATAATATTCCTGGGGTCACCTCTGTACTATACCTTACCCCTGATAATATTCCTGGGGTCACCTATGTACTATACCCTACCCCTGATAATATTCCCGGGGTCATCTCTGTACTATACCTTACCCCGGATAATATTCCTGGGGTCACCTCTGTACTATACCTTACCCCTGATAATATTCCTGGGGTCACCTCTGTACTATACCCTACCCCTGATAATATTCCTGGTGTCACCTCTGTACTATACCTTACCCCTGATAATATTCCTGGGGTCACCTCTGTACTATACCTTACCCCTGATAATATTCCTGGGGTCACCTCTGTACTATACCTTACCCCTGATAATATTCCTGGGGTCACCTATGTACTATACCTTACCCCTGATAATATTCCTGGGGTCACCTATGTACTATACCTTACCCCTGATATTTCTGTAAATGTATCTAGTCCTGCCAATAAAGCTAATTTAAATCTAAGAGCGAAAAAAAGAGAAAAGGAGAGAGAAAAGATGTAGCAAGAAAAACGTTCTAATTTGCAAAGTTTGTTAATGATTAATTTAAGTGTTTGGTCTTAAGAGTTAAAATAATTTGGTGGGAAAGACAAGTTGTTATTTCTTCATCATATGTATGTTTAATACAATAAAAATGAGCCATAAGCGGTCTTCTTGTATTGAGATTCAGGAATCCCTCTGGCCAGCCGGTGGCAGTACTCCCTCACTACCCGACGACTATTCTCAATTCTCTGACCGGCCGTTTTTGGTACCTGGACATCAGAGCTCCTATTCCCCAAATCCCACGTAGCTTTTGGAAAACACAAAACCTTCATCTGACGAGCTCAGCGGGCCCCCATTTACAATACCTGCAGTGAACCACCACCGGCTCGTCGTGGTCGGCCCTCTTCTGCCGTACAAGGCACACAAAGTCCAGGAAGTCGCTGGAATCGTCCGGGACGCCGTGATCCGGCCAGGCCGTGTACTGGATCTGCGTCAGAGGACGGCTCTCGTTTTTCTGGATCAGAGAAACACAAAATGATCAATGGGTAAAGCTGAAGTGTAATCTAATTATTAGGGATTCAACGATACCGGTTTTCTCGGTATAGAGTACTAATACTGTGCTTTCGGGACTCGTCGATACCGAGTACAGATACCGACGCTTTTGCTGGCATGAAGGCTGCTTCCCGGGCAATCAGGAACCCGGGCGGAGGGTAATGATATGCCGCCCGGCTTCCTGACTGCTCGGGAAGCGGGCTCCATGTTTGGCTGGCTTGATTGCGATTGGCCTGGAAACCAGGAAGCGAGTAACGACCCGACCCCTGGCTTCCTGATTGGCTGGGAAGCTGGCTTCTTGGAGCCGGCTGTTTGGCCAGCTGGATGCCGATTGGTCGGAAAGGCATGCCGGTCAGATGAAATCTTCCTTTGACCGGAAGTTCCAGTATCGGGGAAGGTATTGGAGAATTTGGGGGAGTACTCAGTATCGGTGCATCCCTACTACTTATATTTTGCCTTCTTGGTTCCTCTCTCCACCCCATCAACATGCAAATTACATTTTAAAACAAAACGTCTCCAATGTCATCACTGGGTCTCTGTGCGTCTCTATTTGGCAAAAGTCGATTTTTGTAATCAACTTTTGTGGAAGGAGCCAGTCTAAAAATTATTGGCTGAACAGTAACTGCATCCAAACAGCTGCAGTCACTGTTCAGGTATTCTGACATCAGCCCACTGTTGCTGTCAAAATACAATACTCCAGGAGGGGGGGGGGGGGTTCCACCCCGATGTAG